ATAAATTATGCACTGTGGTTTGAAAACATTATGTAAATAATCATGCGTAAAATAAATATTCAGTCATTCTTATACTAAATGCAATTTAGTTGAAGTAGGTACACCATATTTTTTACCRAGACTTATTCAAAATTACAAGGTTCTATGCCAAAGGCATAAAACTTAGTTAATCTCAGCTGTTTTAATCTATATGAAATGGAATTTGTTGTCTTCTAATCTTAATTTTGTGTAAAACAGTTCTATAATACTACCACCTTGTGCTAAAGAATTGGACATGCACTATAACGGAAGAGGAAATTGAAATATTATTGTGTATTGTATGGCTGAAAAAAAATCTTTTTTATAAAAACGAATAGTTTTCTTAATTAAAAATGTTTTACCACGTTATTATTTGTTCATAAACAATAATATTGATATATCGGTATAAGCTGATAAGTATCCTTAGGAAGAACATATTATTTTTAAACGCTTCATCAGTATATAGTATATACAAATATACCTTAATATATACTGTACGATATAATTATAATRAGGCCAAAATGTAGAACGAAGTTCTTAATAGACTCTCACACGAAGATATCTACAACAACAAAAAAGCTTACATAGCCTTTAATAATGCATAAATGTTGGTTTAAAGTTAAACATTTCGATTCTTAGAGCTTAGGGAAAATCTATAGTTGGAGTAAAAGTACTTTACATATTTGTAYATCCACGCGCGTTTACTCCGAGCATTTTTCAAATAAATACAAAATGTTTTGTTCTCTTGATTAATGTAATTTGCAATTGTATAATATATCCATATAGGTTTAGGTGGGCCATTTTTCATGATTTTTTATTTTTTTTTTCATCGTCTTTTCACCTAAAGTCATAAAAACGGATAGGTAGTAACATAAACGATTAATCACACACGTTGTGCGRCTGAGTGACATATAAAGAACGAAAAAGTGATAGGTAGGTATTCTGTAAAAGCATTCACGATGGCTGCAATGTTAACCAATTTAGTGAAATAAAAAAACACTAAGCAAAATATATTATCTCAAAGTGCATGACGCAAACTATATAACCATTTTTGTTTTTATTCATAATTAAAAATAAACGAACAAGAACGTTCAATTTATATTTGTTTGTTTTTTACAAAGTATTAAAATGCAATTTGTCACACGAGAAAACATAATTTGAAATATACATCAACACCTGTATTATCATGAATCACTTAACCCTTTTTAATGTATAAAGTTTAGCTGTGTATTATATTTATATATTATATAAAGGTAGTTCAAAAAAAACTTGTTTAAAAAATTTAAAATAAAAACTCTCTCTCATTTTTTCAAGTGATATTAAAAAATAATTTTGTAAAATGTAGACCCGATTATTCATCCTCTTCGTGTTTCACAAAAAAATGTAAATTATAGCCAAAGAGGTTTTTCTTATTGTATTTTAATCAATTACTTCCATTTTTCGATACATTTTCTACAACAATATTATCATAACTTACTTACCAAAACAACAATAGTAAATCCAATATATATTATTTTATAACAAAAAAAAAAAATACAAAATATGTATCTGATCTAAAAACATTTTGTTTTTCCTTATCTATTTAAAAATATTTTGCTGAACAGTTAAAAACATGATAAAATATTTCATTCAAATAAATTGATATTTAACTAGGGACCTAAATAACAGATAATTGCTATTTCGTTAACGATAAAAAAAATTTTATTATAGATCAACCTATTTTTTTTACATCATTAGTATTTCTATACTATGATTAGGTACATTTTTTTATGAAAATAATATCTTTGAATTTCTTWCATCCTTCTAAGCCACTGTTGATCACAACATTAAATTTCAAGAAATATTTTTTTTTCAGAATTACATATACATGTATTAATTTATAGTGTTTTATTTTAACACCTTTAAATTCTTTGCTTTCTAAAAAGGAAATAGCAAAATTTGAAACCTACAGTTAAAATTATTCTATCCTATAAATATTATAATTAATTCCAAGAACTCCTCGTAATCTTTTAGTAATATTCTTGGTATCGTTAATTTTGCTAAATATAATGCCTCACAGAGCTACATCTTTAAATAGCTTTATAGCAAAAAATGACTAACCTCTATATAATATTATAGTATAAACTAACGATTCGCATAATATTATTAATCATTGTWCATTTCATCATGTTTAAAAACTATACAATTATAAATTTTAATATAATATTATTTATAATTACAAAGGTTATGTGTTTTTAAAATTAAAAGTATGCACTATATATACATACGTTACTTAATTAATAAATATATCATTAAAACGTTTTTAATTTAAATTTAGGAGTGGAACGACGTCAACCTCAGGTGGAACGACAGTGACTATGGTGGTGTAAAGGATTTGAGAATACCACCGCATAAGATATGGAAACCAGATATGCTCATGTATAATAGGTCAGTACACCTCATATTAATGTTTACACCTACATATATGTGGCATATATTCATTGTACACGTCATACATTTTTAAGTTAATACAGTGTTATAAGCACAGTATATTATAAAATCTAATAGCCAGCGAGTGTTCGTGACAATGCGTAATTATAAATTACACAGCTTATCGTTATAGTTTTTTGGTGAAAGACACAACCGTCAAAATGAAATAAGGAAAAAAGTCGTATGGTACATAAGCGCCAAAATCCTAGGTACTTGTGTTTTATGGTGAATAGAGTTAATAGATATTACATTTTTATTGATTTGCATATTATGTACATCGCATCCACATAGTGAAATCACTCATTTCATGGACTGGATATACAGATCGTCAAATTCGTCCATATTGTGAATTTTGATTAGAATAAATTATTTAGATATCCATTTCATGAAATGGTCAATACCTATCTATATTGTGTACTTCATGTAATTATTATGAAACAAGATTGTTATGTTATATTACAATAAATAATTATATTACTAATGGCCCAGTTGTCGATGTACTTTGATCATTAAAAAAAAAAAATAAAATAATTATATTATATTACAGGTATAATCATAATATTATAATTTATAACTACACTATAAGCGTTTATAACCATACTTTTTTTATATTGTTCAATAAAAAAAATACTAAAAAATAATTAATTGATTGGCTTAAATAATAATTTTAAAAAAGGATTGCATAAACTTGGAACAAAATATGGTTTACTTAAAGGATGGTTCGGTAGAAAATGTTTGAAAAAATTAACAACTCAATTTTTCACTACTGATCAAATTGATAAAAATATGGAATTTTCGGTGCGAGTATTTAACATATTTCAGTAAAGCAAGGATTTCCTTCTTATTCGTGTAAAGCAACATATCCTTGCCAATCAAGTAGGAGTGTTTGTTTTAAAWATGATGTCATCATCGATTATCATGTAAAAATAAATAATGAGGAAGAAAAATGTATAGGTGCCTATAGTAAGTTCGTTAATTATTATTTAAGTCAATCAATTAATTATTTTGTTAATATTTTTGTTCATAGAACAATATCGAAAAGTAAAGTTATAATTTAGTAATTTATTATAATATAATAATTTATTGCAAAACAATATAATAATCTTGTTTCATAATAATTAAACTGAATACACAAAATGTACTTATCAATAAAATAAATAAAACGAGACCCCTAGGACGGCCCAAAACCCGATGGATTGACGTAAGTTGCCAAAGATATAGAAATGATAGACCAAGACGTAACGTTAGAAACAGCATATCAGAGAAAAAAAGGTGGAGAGAGATTTTGATGGCAGCGATGGTCCTGAATGGACCGCTAAGCTGATGAAGAAGAAGAATAATTTATTATTATATTAATTAATTGTATAAAAAAATTGTATATCATTATTTTATTATTTTAAATTTATTATATACATTTTTTTTTGGTAGAAAAAGAAATCAACCTATTTTAAATTTCGTTGAAAACGGAATCACAACAGGTATATAAAATATTAGATTGGCGCTTATGTCCTACACATTTTGGCACAAACGATAGATCAATTTTGTACTTTCTGTACTTATGTCATATAGTCTAATTTTGTACACTCGGGTAGCATTTTAAAGGATTACACTGTGTAGAATGAGTCAAATGGAATGTGGACAACTATACTTTGATGGTTTCTGTGTGGGAGTGGTTTGAAGAAAAGTGGAATTTGTTGAAGAATGATGCATACGAATTTTGAATTGTATCCCAAATAGTTTAATAATATTTATGGATTATAAATGCTGAGCAGCACGAGTATGCCTACGATCTTTTGCACTGTACATCATACGCCTAATGTAAAAATCGAAAAATTCGGAGTATTTAGTTTTCAGTTTATTACGAACATTTGAGTTAAGATTCAAACCAATTATACAGAAAAATAAATAATTTTCTGTGATTTAAGTTTAAAAAAAAGTCGAAAAAGGATTATTTTTTTATCTTGATTTTCGTGTAATAGAGTCATAAACCACAGTACCAGTTAGTTGAACAGGATCTTGATTGTCGATTTATAGGGTGATTCTTGAGAGAATAACTTGTATTCATAATAAGAATACAGCATTGTAAAAGTTCCAAACAAAACTGTATATTTACTAGTATGACAAAACGTAAAGGACATAAAAGATAAGGGAGAAATTAATACGATAAAGTTGGAAAACCAACCGAGTGTAGATAGTTAAGTATATTATAGCGGATGCAGATATGTATATATAACATGTATAAATCTGACCTAACAAAATGGAACAACAAGCCATTGAAATAATATGAGTTAAAATAAATCATTCCAAAACCATAGGGAAGTTTTCTGATATGAGTGCGAACTGTATAACTATACAATTTAAAAAAGTTCGAGTGAAATTGAAATATTTTGGTAAGAAATTATACAATGTAAAAAATACTATGAAAGTGGTGTGCTGCAAAAATTACTGAAAAACTCAATCACCCACTTATGTTATTATGTATTTCTGATTCACATAATAAAAGTGACAAAATAATTCATTTCAACGGCATCCATCAATTACAATTTACAACATACTTTAAGTTTGTATATCTCAGACTAAAACATGGTTAGAAAAAAATAAAAGCAATAATTTAAAATGAATATTAGTCGTCAATCGACTGATTAAATAATTAATCAGCGGTGGGCCGGTGGATCATGAGAGCGTAGTAGCCGATAGTGTAACTACTCCTTCCTCCCTGTCACGTCACATCATAATATTATTATAGACATATAGTCAACATCGAATCAATATGCAATCACTGGTTTAGACATAACTATAAATTGAAGTATGACAAATTTTAAATAGTAAATAATTGGTAAATAAATTAAGATAAGCAGCTTATTGGGTGATTCTGACGAATGGCCGTACGCGTTTTAAATAACCGTGTATATCATATTAATAAATATAATACTTACTGAAATGCGACTAAAATTATGATTGATAAATATAATAGGAGAAGAAACACTATAGTTAGTCTAACATCTAATAAGTTTCAATTATTGTGATTTGACAATAAAATATAATGTATTCACTAGTTTTTCTGATATTTTATAAAACGACGACGAAAATGAAAAATTTTATCATCATATGAAAAAATATCACTTAAATAATTTAGAGGGATTAGGATGGATATTAATACACAAATTATTAGAGTAAATTTACAAATTTAATCAATGTATTTTATGTGTGTGGGATGTTACATATAGGTACTTAAAAATAGTGTCTGACATTCCACCAAACGGTGTTAAGAATATAGCCGGATAATTAATACTCAAAATCCCTATAATTGGAAAAATATATATTTTTAAACTTATTGAATCGCAATAAAAAATAATTGTTGAACATCCAAATAACCTCTACTCACCAATAAACCTGAGACATATTATATTGTTGTATGTTAAAAAATAAAACATTATATGAATACATGGCAGTTGATTAACCAATTATTTCCACCTATAATAAACAAATAGGCACACATTTTTCCCACGAAATTTAAAATTATAAATTCTCGTTGAAAAATCAATAACTACCTATACCTATGTAAAATTATTACTAATTATCATATGATCACAACAATGTGTAAATCGTTTTTGAATTGTGTGTGTTTAGCGCTGATGAAGGTTTCGACGGCACGTACGCAACCAACGTGGTGGTCAACAGCAATGGTAGCTGTGTGTTCATACCACCGGGGATATTCAAGAGCACGTGCAAGATCGATATTACGTGGTTCCCCTTCGATGATCAAAAATGTGATATGAAATTTGGCAGCTGGACATACGACGGATTTCAGGTAAACTCGACTGCACAGCTAACGCGAAAGTGTGAAACTTTACTCTAATAACATAATATTTTTAGGTAAATCATTTTTCACCGAAACAATTTCGCGAGGTTTTGTTTATTTTGTCCAACGAAATAATATTATTATTTTCATCAAACTTCACTTTATCGCCGAATTAACCGGATTATTATCATATGATCGCAACTCGTAACTTTAATAGACTATTATTGTGCGTCGTGTGTTTATTGAAAATTTTTTTAATTTTTAATTCATACAATTATGATCAAAAATATCATATTGTTATTCAAATACAGTGTGAAAACGTGAAACAATAACTACGCACGTCACTATAATACTCAGATAACTAAAAGTTTTTATTTTTATTTTCACACATATGGCAAATACACATATACAATATAACCTGAACTATATGCAATACTCATACATTATTGGTGTATTTTTTAAATTTGGTTCAGTATACATGATTGATTTTCTAATTATAGTTCAGTTTTTTCAACAAGCCGAAGAATTTTCATAAATCATACAAATAATTTAATAATTATAATATATATTATCGTGCATTTTAGTACATCTATGTATTTTTTTCAATAAAACCGTTTTGAATTGTGTATTTCAGCTTGACCTTCAACTCCAAGATGATCACGGAGGAGACATCAGTGGTTTTATTACTAACGGTGAATGGGACCTGCTTGGTGAGCAAACAAATAACCGTTCGTTTTAAAAAATCATTTTTTTTCATTTCTGACAGCTTTCGTTTATTTTTATTTTCATAATTTCAGATTTTTTACTAATATGTCATTTTAGGTCTACTTGTGGTTTTTTGAGAGACTAATATACTAATAGARATTATTATACTAATAATTATTTAGTAAATAAATAATTTCATTTTTGATGGTATAATTATCCTATGCACTAAAATATCTTGTATTTAAATTTCTCTCAAAAAACCCATAATATAATATAATTATACATGTACATACATACAAACCATAATTAATTAGTTTTGTTTTTATAGTTTTCTAATATGTAGGTACATTTCATCTAGGTAGAACATTAATAATTAGCCTATAAAATTCGTTTATTATAGCATCACTTAGATATATATTACATAATATATATTATTAATGTAGTCATTAAAATACAACAATTTTAGACAAATCGCATTCATTCATATTCAGACGAATGAATAATTATTATTTGGGTGTACTGAAAATCTTTAATAAAATACATTAATTTGATTTTCAAAATATTTTTATCAATGTTTATATTATTAACAAATTTAAAAAAAATCAAATTATATCCTTTACAATCAATAAAATATTTTTGTTAATGTACAAGTGTACAATACAATGTTTATAATTTCGTGCACCTATTGAAATACTTGAAAAAATACTTACTTAATCTACAATTTAATTCAATAATATTAATATATGATCATTACATGTATGATTGGGGATTAAAAAAGTCATAATTTCACCATAAAGTTGTTAGAATGTTAATTGTATTATAATCGTATATAATATCTTACGTAAATACGATATTCAAAATTTATGATAATATGTTTCTTGAGTTTCAGTTACCWACCCTTTACATATTTTATTATAAATGTTTAGATCTGATACTTTGACATAAATAATTTTCCATTAAATATAATATAATGAAGAATCTATCTTATAAAATAGACCATACGATATGAATCAAAGCACAATATAGTTTTAGGCTTTATGATAAAGAACAAATGTAATTAGGCTACTAACAGTATCTACCTATTGTACTTTTACAGGAATTCTATTGCAAATACTTTAGGTATAGGTACATAACTAACTTGGTATATGTAAAAATATTATTCCAGATCTTAACAGTATCATTTATTTTATTTTCAATATACGAATGTATTCAAAAAACAAAAATTAATCCGCTTTCGATCATTTTCAAACCAAATCCAATTACTATCTTCAAATCATTATATTTAAATKAATAGAACTATTTTACTATCACTCTATAGTATTATAAATTTTAATAATAAATGACACGGATAAAAACGTATTCATTTGAATTTCAGCCTACAACGAAGCATCGTTCCATTTTATTTATACTCTTCAAGTGAAGATAAGGTAGTAACAAAATGAAAATAAAATAAACATAAAATATTATTCGTTAAAAATGTATTGACCAAACATTATTCAATGCGAATACTTTCTGAATATATCCTTAGATATAGAACACATTTTCCTCGGATCCCAAATATCCTGAACAAAATATTTAGTAATATAACAATGATTAAAATATTTTTTAAATATATCTAATCCAAAATTCAAAATTTTATAAAAAAAAAGATATATAAAATACCATTTCAAATTCGCACTAAATCACATCGATTTAAAAAGCATGGTATAGATAGATAATACACGAGTATTAAACACGATGTTAGTGGCGAATTCAATATGTGATAATTCGCATTCTCTGAAGTCCCTTAATTCCGATTTTTCTGGTTTTTAATAATATAGTTACTAGTTATTTTCTTTGACCAGATATATCGAATAATTCAATTAAGTTCAAAATTTTATTTTTCATATGATAAAATTAGGTACATTTGAAATCAATTATTTTCTGTACTTAAAAATTAAACTGTTATATTATTAATTTGTTCTTCAAACAATACTTTTATTCATAGATTTTATAACATATCTAACATGATATTATTTTTTTATTAACATTATATCATAACTATCATTACAATTAATCAATTTTCATTAATTAATAATTAAAATATACAATTTGTTTTTAAACAATATATTATAGTTTTTGAATTCGTCACTTAGAATCATTATTATAGTCTTCGTCAAATTGAATTGATAAATAACACTACGTTATTTGTATGACAGTTACATAAACACGTAAACAGTTTAGGTACTCAATTAGTTTATTCTTTTGAACGTATTTTACATTTTTGAAAACTTTGTCATAAAATATAGCATTGATGTAAAATTAAAATAACACATTAGATAAATACATCTGAACACACGTTTGGTTTAATGTACATTATTTTGTTTCTTAGTTTTTTTGCATGTTAATATAATTTTAATAATCATTGCATCGAAAACTAGTTCAAAAACTTTGATGTGTGTGCTACTAGCTAGTATGTATGTAGTTCTATATTAAAATATAATACGGTGATCCATTATAATAAAAACTTAATATTATGCTAATATTTACAGTAATTATTGTGATAACTAGTTTAGTTCTTAATAAACTTATTTGTTCATGGTTTTACTAATACTCGACCAGTTTTTGTTAATTATGTATTACTTGTTTTAAAATTAACTAGATTCCAAACAAAAATCATATTATTTAATTTAAAATGTAACTAGATAATTAATATGTTGGAAAATTCGATATGTTTGCTATTAAAATAGTAAAGATTAATTTAATTTCAATATGTAATAGTTACATTTTTACAAACTCTTTTATTGTGGAACATTATGCATATTGTAATGGTTTAGACAACTTAAATTGTAATCGTCTAATATTTAGTATCGTGTAAAATGAAATTAATGGATCACCTCATTTATATTTTTCACCTCTAAAACTATTGTGATATTATAATATATTTATAAAAATGACGTTTTTACACACAATTGTTGTTTTTTAATGTGTTTTTGTTACCACAAAAGTATTGATTCACTTGAAAATCAGTTAAATCACAAAACAATAAATATTACTGCTGTAAATGAAAATATTTAACGCCTGGACCGTCTGAGCTATCTATTATTATTAGCATTTAATGTACCATGTGATATTAGTTTAATATTTATGAATTATTAGTAAATATTTAATTTCACATAGGCACAAACGTATTTTTTTGATGGTACGATTTTCATTGTTTGTCATTTATGTTATTCTACGCTTGTAACCAACCCATTCTCAAGATCAAATTTATTTCCCCAAAATTCACTTCACTACGACTATGATTAATATTAAATGCAATTTCTGTTTTATTGATTATAATCAAGATGAATAGGTACAAACAATTTTTTGGCTTCTGAAAATAGTTGTAAATTCGTCTATATATATATATATATATATCATTTTTTAAATTGATTATTTACGATCGAAATATCTCTTATTTATATTTTACGAGTACATTGCGTAAAAAACAATTTTACGTCAATATTTGACATACAAAACAGCTAGTATTAAAATTGTAAATCGTGATTGAGCATTTAGTGGTTAATGTTTGAAATCGTCGATACTCAGCACTCTAACTACTATACAAGAGTAAACGAGATACAGGTAATAACTTTTCAATCACTTTTATAAATTTATGCTTCCGTGTTTCAAAATATATGGTGTTTATACGAAATGTCATTCCAAGAAAATYAAAAAATTCTTGAGTGTCAACAACTAAAGTAATTAATAACAATCTGATTTTTTATGGAAAATAAATACGCAAATCGTCTTTTTTTAATGTTGTTCGAACCATTCTCAACCTTTGGAGTTTCYGTGAAACTATTTTCCTAAAATGAGCTTTTAATATGTTTTTATTAATAGTCATAATTCATGAATATCAAAAATGAAAACAAACGATGGACAGAATCGACAAAAACCAATTGAAATCTGCGTAGACAATATACCGGCCTGATTGAATAATTGCTTAAGTATTGGCAGGATGTCCAAAAAAAGACATACCATATGAGAAAAAGGAAAATCACATTGTATAAAATTTACATGAAAAATAAATAAATTATATTTCCACCTGTCAGCGTTTCGACGATTGATATAATTATAGCCAGAGTTGAGCAAAATTTTATCTAGATAATTAATCAAATAAATATATATTCAAATAAAAAATTTAAAAACAATATKATTCGAATAATTTTCAAAGCTAATTATTTGAATAATTTTCACAACGATTTATTCGAATAAAATATTATTCGATTAATTTTCGTTTACTTAATTAATTAAATTTTGGTTGATAATTTTAAACACGCAAATTTCCCATATAATATCTAAATGTCTACTCTATCTATACATTTTTGTATGGAGCTCAATATTTGTAGAATAATTGTGAAAAATTCATTCGAATAATAATTTATTCTAATACAATTTTATCTAATTAATCATCTTAATAAAAAATTATTCGAATAAAGCCCTTCTCTGATTATAGCTAGTGCCCAAAAATCGGTGACGGTCCAGTGCGTTTAATAACTCCATGTTGTGAATACAACGATTATAATATTATAACAATAATTAATATGTTCGTTTAATTTTTTTTTTAAATAATAATCACTTTCCTTCACACATAACTCTTCCTTTTGGCAGGCGTTCCCGGAAAGCGCAATGTGATCTACTACAGTTGCTGCCCCGAACCGTACATAGACATAACGTTTTCCATCCTAATTAGAAGGCGCACCTTGTATTACTTTTTCAACCTGATAGTCCCGTGCGTGTTGATTGCGTCTATGGCAGTACTAGGATTTACTCTCCCGCCGGACTGTGGCGAAAAACTATCTCTAGGTAAACAAAATTAAATTAATAATCGTATTAATATGATAATAAAATAGCTATTTGTATTTTTTTACTACATGTCAGAGTGTCTCCTGTCGTGCAATACCATTTATTATTTGTGACATAATATAGGGGTTTTTAGTTTTAAGTGTAACATAATAGCATATAACTATAKTGACTAATAGTAATGTAATGAGTCACCATTATATTATCAACGGTTCAGGACCATAAATAACTACCTGTACCAATAAAATTAAACAATGTWTTATTACGTGTTAATATAATAACACGATATTATTAAATTTATAAATTTATTAAATAACATGTACTTACTTTTTTCAGCTATTTTAACGTCTCTCTCGGCAAACCACTTATAAATAAACATTTACTTTTCGAAACTYTATTCGTAACAGATTAAGTRGTTGGACTGACATTGAAAGTTGTGTCCTTTTGATCAGGTACCTACCTTAAGTAAATGTTTGCAATTCTCAATATGCATCAAGTGCTTTTCAATAGGTATTAATCGAGGTCAACCAAAACCATGACCTTCAGGTTTTTGTTTTACATAATTACAAACGTTTATTGTCATATTTTATACAATAGTGACGCGCAATCAACTAAAATCGAATTAATAACTTTTTCACATTGTTAAGCACGTCATTAAAAGAAAAAAACCGAAAATCGTCTTTCTATAACTAATTCTTTTTGGACTTGATTTATTATTAATATTTAAGATGATTTTTTTCATGCTTTTGTTTACTGCAGTCTGATATATTATACTACATGTAGATAGAAACTTACCAGTGTATAAAATATWTAATATGTACTCTGACTAATTTCAATTTACCMAGCTCGTTTCCGATMATCACGTTTTAAGATGATAACTAATAATATTATTATATTATATATTTATATGTGTATTGCATTAAATATATATTATATGCATAGTGCACACACTCATCTGAACGCTGCATTCATGTAATATAGAGTAGGTACTCGAGTACGTAATTTCAAAAATTGCCATTCAGGATTCAGGACTATTGTCATTTGGACAAACACACCAGAAATGTCTATATTTATATCGATTTCATTGTTTATATTTCATGGTACATTAGCAAGCTCTGGATATTATTATTAAATTATTGATTATTTAAACGACAACAAGTTCTTCCAATGACGCCCTAATGTGTCTGAAATTGCAGTCGTATATAAATTAAACATTTTGATCTGTCGGCTTGTAATGTAACGATATCAAACTATAACAGCAGTAACAATTATTATTAAATTGTTATGACGATAAATTGCAATTCATTTAATGGGGTGTTTCAAGATAAAAACGTTTATTACAAGAAATCATTTCAGGATTTTACCAGGGAAAGTGCCTAATCATTCTCTTCGCACACTCCAAACTTCTCGCTAATTTCGATTTACCCTACTCRTTTCCAACCACTGCATTTCAAAACAGTGAACAAATAAATATCTAATCGTGTAGTAAAATAACGTAGTATTTTATGCGTTTATTAAATCGAAGGAGGTAGTGGAAAGTGTACGAGAGAGACGGAATTTTCGCGATGTAGCGAAAAAAATTGTTATTAACACTCGCACACACATATACATCACACAATATTTGTGCATATCATAATTTATTCTCTCCTCATAATCGCTTCGGTTTTTAAGTGTATATGTGTGCATACGAGTGTACTGTGTATATTTCACATATTTTTGGGACGTTTCGAACCAAACGATTTTCGTGGTGGACTTACCTCTATTTTGTTTGTTTCGTTTTTTGTCTTTTTTTTTGTTTTTTTTTTTTTAAATCAGTTTTTTACAGACTTGAGAGCCGCGAGGAGCTTGAAAAACTACTCTTGTTGTCCAAATCCGTACGTGGATATCACTTTTACCATATTCGTTCGGCGCAGAACTGTTTATTACATCGTCAACCTGATATTACCAAGCGTAACGCTGGCCGCTATGGCCATGCTCGGGTTCACGCTGCCCTCAGATTGTGGCGAAAAAATGACCTTAGGTACCTACTTACATGCGTACAGAGTCTCACATATTACAATAATACATTAACTCAAACACAGGCATACATACACAAACACGAATACACTGACAAACGTTTATACACAGGTGCACATTCACAAACACAAACTCAAACACTCACAAGCAAACACACCCTCACACATTTACGTATCTACACTTAGCGAGCGCGACAAGACAATGATAAAATATTATAATATTCTGGTGACGTCTCCGATGACACTACCAGAATATAATATAAAACCTATAATTTTTATTATTATTATAATTCATTATGTATATATTATGTATATGTATTTATATGTCTGTATATAATGTTACAATTCAAGACTATATACTTGTTGTACTATCTATTATTATACCCGGTCCATACGAAACTAATCGTAATAACCGCGGTTCGACGTGACATTTTCTTCAGATTAAGTGGGTGGCTGGGGAAACGATATCGTTATTATTATTATTATTATTATTATTTTATTTAACATTTTATTTTGTTTTGTCAATCTACCATACTTGGTGTGTAAATATAAATGTTTTAATTAAAGGTGTAACAATTCTCCTGTCGTTGACCGTTTTTCTAAACATGGTGGCCGAGACAATGCCGGCTACTTCGGACGCAGTTCCTCTTTTAGGTAACGCACGGCCAACTGAACATTTTTGTATACAATATACGTACTCGTTTTAAACGAACATTTTTGCGTATATAATATACATCATATATTTTAATAACATATTTAATAATTTTTTTTCGTGGTCACATGACTTGGCTAAGGAGGGCACACAAAACTACTACCATACTGGTAATCGAAACGCACCGAGTATATTTTTTTCATTATATATGAATTTATATAAATATATATATATACATATATTGTAAAAATATTATTGTATTTTTTCACAAACACATTTGAGGTCAAAAATGTTAATTACTTACTCTATATGTTTTTTGTTTTTTTTTATTATTTTATTATTATTATTATTATTATTATTATTTTATTTTATAATGATTACGTTGTAGATTTTTAATGACAGGAAATATTATATTTTCATATAATCTAACTTCTGTGTAAATCTATTATACATAGGTACTAATAAACTCCAATTAAACATCTTAATACCATATAGGTATTATTGAAATATAACAATGTTACATATGATACAAGTATTCATAAAAAATAATAAAATCAATATTTAATTTAAGCTTCAAAATATAAAATATTATTTTGAAGGATTTTAAAAAATGTGATTCATTATTTATTTTACATATAATATCCCTACATATTTTAATTTAATTAATCAGCGAAATATAAAAAGTCCATAAAACTTATTAATGACATATCAAATCAATAATTAAATATTTATGAATATACAAAACTTTTTTAATCACATTTCGATGTATTGAACAATAAGCTTAACACGACTTTAATACCTAAATGTTGAACACTATTAATACATTTTTTTTTATGTTTCCTATCAAAAAAATTTCAAGTTCTATCAAATTTTACATTTTGTATGTATCAATCATAAATACCATCAAATAGTGTGATGATACCATTGATAACTTGTTGAATGTAAAACCGTTTTAAAAAATATTAAGTTTTCGAAAATTTCCMAAATTTGTTACCTGAAATTTGAAAATGTACCTTTATATTTAGAAATAATTTCAATGTGATTGATTGAAGCAGGCTGTCAAACAAAATGATGGGACGTTAACCAATAAACCGGTTATCATGATTTCACAACATTAACTTTTTGTAGGAGTTAACTCGAAAAATAATTTTTTCTTAAAACAGATGTTTGAGTGAATTTTGTAATGTTCTTTTTAAAAATAATTTTTGAAAGTAAAAAACTAACAATAGGTTTAAGAATATAAGTTGCTGTAGAAAATTATAGCTAGAAAAAATTGTGTTTGTGCTGATTATTTTGATCGATTTTGAACATAAAGTCTATTATGATTTTATTGCTCAAAGGAATTTATTATAAAAAAAAAATCAAAAACTATATATTCGAAGTATATAATATCATAGCTCGAGAGGAACTGGAGACCAGGTTCCCATAATTGCATTAACAAAATACACATTTTCAGCTTATCAAAAACGTGTTGTAAACAATAACATTTTATATTATACATTTTTTTTTTTTTTTTGCAAATAATATGTATTCTTTTCAATAATTTATTAAAATCATAATTTATATTTTATATTTTTTGATGTTGGCGAACAGGAGTTACGGTTTTGCTATCGCTTACATTCTTCCTAAATATGGTGTGCGAAACAATGCCACCTGCCTCTGAGTTACCACTGATAGGTATATTCAAATTAAAAGTTTGTTATTTTCTTTGTTTTGTTGTTGTTTTTATTATTATTATTATTATTATTATTATTATTATTATTATTATTATTATTATTATTATTTGCACCTGTTTAAGGGTTTGTACTTGGATGGCAGGGGTGCAACAATCGGGGGACTTCAATTAATAAATATCAAATTTAACACGTACCATATAAACATCGCAATAATACAAGAAAAAAGAAATATATTATTATTGTTTAAAAAAAAAATAACATTTTAGTTTCGGTCACTAATTGCTTGGAGGCTTCACATAGTGTCAAGTATTTTTTTCTTTTTTAAATTATTTTGATACGGCCAAAATAAAACAATACGATAAATGCTTATTAGATATTAGATAAATATTATGCTTGTTAATGATAATAATAACATATTCTAGTACTGAAAGCTAATGCCTACAAAAGTTATCCTGTGAGAACACGTAACAACGTTTCRCTCGAAAACCGACAGTCTAATTTTATTTAAAGACAAATTTCGCCATGTATCAATCTTGTTTAAACTTATAAAGCTTTGTTTGAACACAACTTTTATTATTGCTGTTATTATTATTATTATTTTGTTGATTATTTTTTTTTTTTATTATTTGTCATAGTAAAATATGATTACATATAACTCAAATGAACGGTCACGGGTTTTTGTTTTTTCCTTTTTCATTCGGCCCAAACATAATATTTTTATTTTCCTTCTATGCATTTTATATTATATAGATATAATATACATGTATAAAAATATAATATACGTACATAATATTATATATATTATAATAGGTATAGAGAAAAGTTAAATAAATAGATAACTTTTTGTCTGACGTATATATAATATCATAAATACCATGATATTATCATAGCATACCTATACTGCACGTGTTAAAAAAAAAAACATAAATATTACTGAATGCATATTCTAAATCGTACATGTATGAAACTATATTAATATGTCATTTAGAGCGCTTAGTGCCTATTTTAGATTTATAGTTCGTTAGTGAAGTAATGCTCGGGATACACCCATAGACAGACACAAGTCACGAACGCACAGTACGCGCACACAGATACAGAATATTACACACAAACACACGCACGCGCACACACACACACACACACACACACACACAAACACACAAACACTCAATGCACACGCGTCCATACACACTCTTTGCAAATGTACCTATAGATGAAAATACGCTTTAGAATGCGCTTTCAAACGTGCACACTTWACACACTGAATATATCCCGATTGCTGTGACTACAGCAGAAACTGCCACTTTGGGGATGCAATTTAGTAGTTTCAAAGAATAATAAACCCAGTCTTGAATATCGTCCTGGTGATAATGTACATTTTCTCGTACATTATTATTATAATATACCTCCCACTTGCTAGTTCACCACGATTTCCATTATTCCTCCACGTTTAATCCGCCGTCTCACGATCACCAACGAACCACAAGTCCTCCATTCTCAAGAACTAGATCCCAATAAACATATACAACATTGCAATCGAAATAAAATATACTATATACCTACGTATACACTATACATATTATATTATATTATTATATTATTATAATCTTATATTTATATATGTGTGTATAATATGTATATATATATATATATAGATATAGATATAGATATAAATATACTCGTATGTGTGTGTGTGTGTGTGTGTGTGTGTGTGTGTGTGTGTGTGTGTGTGTGTGTGTGTGTGTGTGTGTGTGTGTGTGTGTGTGTGTGTGTGTGTGTGTATATATTATATTGTACAAAATCGATAAACAAATATCGTGTATCCATAATAATGCATGTATCGATCTATATATTTTTATTTTATATTTTTTTTATTATTTATTACATGAAAAACAATATTTTTTTAAATGTCTTTGTAYTTGGACATAATAAAATTTAGAGTGTGGAGTCCTTTAGCTTTCTATCAAAGTCAGTGATCGCTTGATTAGTGTTAATAATATACAATTCAAAGCAATAATAATATCATTTTTTATACGCACTGTAAAAATATTACTTTTTCTTATACTTAATACAATTATTATGTAACATTACTATTCAATTTTAAAACAACAACGTTGCATCTTAAAAAGCGGAAGGTTTTATTTATATTATATTATATACTTTTGTAATGCAAATTGCTATAAAACTATTTTGGAATTTCATACGATTTATTATTATTATATTATAGGTTTCCTGTATAATAATAATATTCTACTGTTTACTATTAAGATATAGGTAATATATTATAAAAACAGTTAATAAAACGTATATCATAATATGATAATATTATACCATAAGCAGCACTGTATTGTTTTAATTCACCCTTCGAACCTGGTCTCCAGAAGAAAAAACTTATCGTAAGAAATTATTAATAAAAAAATAATAATAACTATGGAAAAAAATAACGACCGAAAACATATATTTCTCCATGTTAAGTGACCTGAGAAACAAAAACCCAGTGAGCACACACGTAATAATTGTATTTTTGTAGTTTCCGTGTAGTTAGCTATTTTGTTCGATTTTATTTTCGATTTCATTTCAACACAACCGCTGTATACTGTTTATATAATATTGGTACAACACATGTATTAAAATGGAATTGTATTCATCAACAACACATATAGGTACAAGAGRCTATAATAGTATGTAATCATTAGGTCTAAATTATAATCGACTGTTTAATATTTGTCGTCGTCATGAGTAGGTACTCAAATTTTCATCCACTAGTTTTGACTATTTTTGTTTTAGTAACTAACTCACCGTTAGCTTATTATATTTATACCTAAACGTTATCATTGATTTAATTTTGTTATTATTATTTATTTATTTATTTTTTTTTATTATATAGAACAAACCCTCGGCGACATCGGCCATTGGGATATTATTTATTATTATCACTATAATATTTATTATTGTTATTTTATTTTTATTATTTTTTGTATTATTATTGTTATTATTATTATTATTATTATTATTATTATCATTATTATCATTATTATTA